ATAATTTAGGACCCTAATGAACTGTAGATTTATGATGCAGAATAGATCGTACCGAAGAATTTTCCAATGATTTATCAATTTTTTAGAAGTAAATTCGCGCATTCATAGTTGGTCTCATATTTTGTTTCTTTCAGTGATTTTTCACTGCTTGAGTTGGACGATCGTGAGACGCATTTGACAGTTTTCAATTACAGTGATCCATCGAAAGTGTTGGAGGTTTGTGTTTCGTGTTTATTTCGTTTGAGAGTTTTTATTTAATTTTTGCAAGTGATTTCATATTGCGATTGCTAATGTTTTGTTGTTGTCACTGAAATAGATTTTTACTTTGCGTTTCAAATAGTTTTCGTATGAACAGATGGATTTTTACTTTTTTTCTCCCATAGAATTTAAGCACATGATTGTCGAATTTGATTTGGATGTGGAAATATCTTTTTGCAGATGAAATGTCAAGATTTTACAAGTCAGTTGGAGAAGTTGTATGCAAACTTGAAGTGGTCAGAAATGCAGCAGAAGATTAATAGCGCCGTAAAAGACTTATTCTTGACTATATCCAGGTGAAGTTTTGATTTTGGAGCGAAAATCATTTCGTCATAAAATTTGCATTGTTTAGTGGGAATATTGAGAATGTTAAAATTGATCACTGTGATATTATGGTTTTGATTTGAATGTTTTTAGTGGTGAACCTCCACGTTCAATGAAACATAACGCACAATCGAGAGCAATGTATGGAATCGATGTTATGCTGAAATGGGACTCTGATGGTATTTTTTCTGAGTTGTTTGGAGAACGAAAAATTTTTCCATTTTTCTTTTCATTCTCTCGGTTCGTAACCGACGATTATTCATCTAACTCAAACTGAAATGTGTAATCATATATTATTTGGTTCATCCAATGCAACGATTAAAAGAGTTAGGCAATGCCAAAGAGAATGTATCATAACGATTGCAGATGAGAAGACCCGAAACGTTCAGGTGTCAATAATTGAAGGCAATTTCATGCCTGATTGCGAGCGAGCCTGTGCATACTATCCAGATTTTGCTGATACTGTTTTCAAATTTTTATTTATGGACGAAGTGGATACGAGTAAAATAACGATGTTATAAAAGAGCTTTGAAAATGGTTTCGGAAATTTCAGTGTGTGAATGAAGAAATTGTTTCTAAAAATATATGCTTCATTTTTCATAAAATAATGCAGTTTTAGTGTAGCTCATTCATTGCGTTCGTTAATTTCGGCCCAATTTGCAAATTTTGAA